GGGGAGGAAAGGAGGAGAACGTGAGGAGGAGGAACGCCTAGCGTGGCGGAGAGATAAGTGAGGGACGGGGGGACTGATCTGGTATCAGAAAAAAATGCCGGGGAACACTAACAGCGGGTTGTCGTCAATGTGCTAATTCGATTCTATGATCAGATTTTGGTTTTATTTTCATTTTCGTACATTGCTTTTCTTCCAAATTTTAGGTTTCATTTTTTGCTATTTTTTGGTTGTTTTTGTTTGTGCTAACAATAATTAGATCAACACAAACAAGAAACTATATGAAACAACACACGTCAACATTAACAAAAATAATGTAATAAAAAATTTGTTAAAGATGAACATTTCAATGAAGAAAATGATGCATGATGCCCGCCAGCGCTTCGGTCACACCAAGTTCTTCTACTGCAACCCTTGCGACTCACGTCTAGGTGGATCTAAGGCAGTCTGTGTGAATCCTGAATGTGCAATCCAAGGGTCTGTATTCAAATTGACTAGCTGGACTCATCGCGCTTTAACTGCGCTCATTGTAGCTTTCATCCGAAGCGGTGCAAAGCCATGAAGAGAACGGCTATCCACTTTTTGCAAGTCGAACCTCAACTGTCGCTGATACTTGACAAGGTTCTCCCCACTCTTATTCGAATTCACAGAGAAATACATTGCGGGGTAGGCGTGTTCCCGGTTTTTTTTGCCCGAGTTCACATAAACACTCACATGTACGCCGCTACTCGTTACAGGAAATCGGTTCTGAGCGCAGCGAAACTACCTCTTTCCCATGGTACAAGCGGTCCATTGAAACGCTCACGGAGTTCGATGAGCGTAAAATGAAGATCATACTAGCTCTGAATTTCGACGGCGTCAAGTTGAAGAAGCTTTTCAAGCTTTATCTACATACGTCTCGAGGGGCTCCCGTTCAAGGAGAAGAACAAGATCGAAAACGTACTTTTGGCTGGAATCACGTTCACAAGAAAAACTCCCACGGAAAAGCTTCTTACCGAAATGTTTGGGCGGTCAGTTAGTTACTAAGTCCAGTCGACTCAATCCTATTAGAGGGTTGAACCTGGTGTGTTTCAGTCTTCGTGAAGAACTCGAAATGCTGAGCGAGAACGGTATTCCCGTATCACACAACGGTACTACTTGGTTCTGCACCCCGATACTGGCTCATGGTACCAATGACTTCGCCGTGGGTTTTTGTAGCTTAAAAGGCAGTGGGAAATGAAATCTCTGTATAGTATCAAGTGTTTCAGGCCTTGAAGACTTTGTACGACTTACCCCGCTGGCAGTCTTTGTACGGATGCCATCTCTGTACTTTCCCGGGCGAAAGAGTTGGCCACCGAGTAATTTGGTTTCCCAGATTCCCTTTTGCTGGAGACCGTCGCACATACGCTTCGCTAACTCAAGATGCGATAACGCGCTCTCAAGGCGTAAGAGGTTAGCTGCCATTGGGCACATCCGCGCCCTTCCCCCACTGGGCTGTCACTCAACACACATGTAGTAGACTCATTTCTGTACAGGTCGAACGCAGATGATGGACATATTAATGGTGCATGAATGCATACCGGATGCGCTGCATGTGATCTCTGAAGGCATAACTTGTGACGTTTTTAAAGGTGACTTCACCTTTTGCGATCTCTATCCCTATGGCGTTCTAAGAAGATAACTTCAGCCATGTTTTCTTCGCAAAGCCGCGTGCCCGCGATGAAAGTGCGTCCGGAGTGCCTGCAGGAGTTCTATCGCATCATAGCCACTACTCGTAATTATACGTACGCGGATAAGTTCGTTCTTGGACTTGAAGACTTTTCGGGTACCACCGGGTCTGAGAAAGACGCTGTAAGTGGGAGATGTCATACTTGTGTTCCCTCAGATTTGAGTCGCGATTCTGCGTGAATGTCTGCGCTGATCCTGTGGGTGCTTTCGCTGTGCTTACATACTGGATACTCGTGCGAGTCATTGAAAGGAGCCCAGAGCTGACAGTAAACGACTTCCCTGGAGTCCAAGAACTAGCTAGGGCAATGAAGAATCTATGGTACGCGATCGAGCCGACTCTATTCACCCTGAAAGTCCATGTAAGTGTCGTAGTAGTCTGCTTGCGAAAATCTGCATGGTTAATGCGAGTGTCTCAATAGCAAGTTTCACCAATCTCACTGATCTGCAGTGCTTTGTCGACCATGCACTTTTGGAAGACATATACGACGTTGGAACACCTTATCATTGGACCGCAAGTGCCTTCGAAAGCATGCATCGTCGCCTTCAACTCCGAGTAGCTCAGTGCACTACGAACGTTGAGGATGCAGTCGTTGAGAAGTATGCACATTTTAGAGTCTCCCCTACCTATCCTCACCACACTATACATAGACGTTCCGCTCTTTAGTTTCGTGATGCGCAAATACCTGCTTGGAAAGCTGGAAAAGGAAACTCAACGATACAGCAATGTGTTCATGGACCGTTTGTATGCCAAATTTGCAGCAGGCGAAACGTTTAGGTAACCTACATTTGTGGTCGACTAGTTGTGGCAATGGTAGATCTCAAACCTTTATCTATTAGGCCTTCCCCGGGTGACTGCATACTTGATTCCGACTGCCATGTGCCACAATCAAGCATGTTGCGACTGGACGATCTGTTCATAGAACATCAGCAATACTTTGAAACAAGGCGACACCTTACGAGTTTCAGGTAAGAATGAGAATTGTATGAGAAGGCCCATCACAGGAGTACACTTTCAGTTGCCGCTTGTGTAAAGGGAACAAGATCTACTCATCGGCGGTGTATAATAAACGGACGATGGATACGGTGCAAGGAATTTGTTTGCTTGGAAGTCAATGGCGTCCCTCTTTTCGGAAAGGTCATCGTGTTTGCATTCGATTCCTGGACAAACGAATGCAGTGTCCTGATAGAAGAGATTAAGACGGACGACCCTTTTGTAGCACTCAGTGCGGCACTGGAAAGTGGCGACCACCCGGCCACAAATCGAGCTCGCTCTGCTTTGTACGATATTCGTCGTTGTAATCGTTTTTTCAAAAGAGTCATAGGTAGAGAACACCTTCTATGCAATGCTTATGACATTATGTCGCCAGCTTTGCTCATTGACGCTGGGTCAACGTCATACGTGTCACGCCTCTAACCTCCGCCGGTACGGCTCCTCATCTTTTTTGCTTAGTGTAACCCCTTGGAGCATTGGCACCTTAGCGACACTGCAATCTAACCGCAGATTTCGAGCTCGGTTTGAGATGGGAAATCTTGAGTTTCTTGACTCGACACGAACCTGATGTTTCATCACCAACGGTTTTTCGGGAGCAAAAAAACAACAACGGCGGAAATTTCAATGGTGTTTTCGAGAGCAGAAAAACATCAACGATGGAAAACTCTGACGGTTATCTTTTTGGGAGTATCTTTTCGGGAGCAGGAAAACCGCAGAAAATGCAGCGTCGTTAAAGCGTCAACGCCTCCTACTCGGAAGTGCCTCATAATGTTTTGTCGGCCTTAACCTTTACGCTCACGATCTGGTGTAACCTCGTATGTTCGCATATAACGTGTACCGGTTCAACCTCGAAGCTGATAAGTTTCTTATGTTGCGCTATGTTTCCATGCATAATCTTAACCTCTGAGTAAGTTGAGAGATTAAAGGAATGGTTTAAGTGTGTCCCACCACTTTCATGAGATGGTGTATGCCATGAATATACATTCACTTTTTCTAGCTAGTTTCGAACAATAGTTCAGAGTTGTAGTTGGGCGGGAGCTAGAATGAGCGGCATCAAATCCCCTGTGTGCAATGCGAACGCTGACGAGTTGCCGGCAGCTATCGCTGAGGCGTACAGGACATCTGTGGACAGTGCAACGAACGGTATGCCGTAAGCTGTCATCTAAGTGTTGCCTGGTTGGAAACTCTTATTTTTCGGTCGTTTCTCCAGACTATCATATGGAAGAAAACCAAAACGTTTCCGAAGAACGTTCCAACTTAAGTACTCCGTCGAATATCGTTTCGGTGACTTCACTCAGAGAGTGTGCGGGAACTCCTTCTTCGATGGTCTCTTCCCCTGCGTTATCTGCGCACTCAGTAGGATCCCAGGAGCTTCGAAATACTGGAACAGGTGGATTCGTTGCATGAGCTTATAACGTGATGTTTCTAAGGTGTCGTTCGA